CCCCCCCCGAAACGTGATCGAGAATGGACTGAGGAGGACCCCCCCCCCCACTCCCAGAATGCGATCGCAAACGGAATGAGGGGGGCCACAGGCCCTGCATCAGCTAAGGACGGCCCTGTGTGTGTGTGTGTTTTAAGAGTTGTATTGAGGTACAGCCACATTTACCGCTGTTTAGGGAATTTTTATGGACAAAATCCAGTCATTTCAATTATACTGGCATAATTATACTATTTCAAGGCTTGTAATTAAAAATCATTTTTTCCCCCCGTTTAATATTGGTATTTCGCAAATGTGGCCACACCTTTAGTTTGAAATCTGACGTTTCATTTGCAGTGCATAGTCTTGCAAGAACTTTTCTGCTTACTTATTTCCTTGTGCTTAAAGAAACAACTTCATGGTGAATGTTATTTGATATTTTCCTTTATTTCAGGGATTTGGATCAGTGTTTTTGTGAACTCTGTGATAAAATACGCTCCCACTAGGCTCTCAGTCTTGCCTGAGTTCCCGTCTGGCACAGTTATCTGCTCGGTCCTTATTTGTTTACACAATCCTTTTATCTGTTCCTGAGGGGCAGCAGTGGTTTAGTCAGTGGGAAAAGTGAGTGTGGATGTGAGATGCGTCTGCTGCTTTAGTCTTATCTGAATGATTCTCCGGGCTCTCACTGGTGCTGTAACAATGGGCAGTCAGGGCAGAGGCATTCTCCAGAGTCCAGTCACAGCCGTATATCACCCCGCTGAGAGGAAGTCAGCCTGTGCCGTACTTCCTGTTGGCTTAGACGCGACGTTCAGGAACTGCACACAGCACTGCTCCTGGCTACGTCCTCTGTACTGAAAGCACAAATAATGTAACCCGTATTGCTCTGTCCAGTGCTTTCTCTAATGTTTTGGGGTTACATTTACATTCAGAGTTTACATACATGTTTATAGCATTATGTATTACGTATTCAGCTATACATTGAGGATTTAATGTATTATAAATATACATTTAGGATTGATACATATATACAACCACTCAAAAGTACGTTTAAAAAAAAAAATGTTTTTAAAGAAGTCTCTTATGCTCACCAAGGCTGTATTATTTTTGGATCAAAAATACAGTAAAAACAGTAATACTGTGAAATGTTAATACAATTTAAAACAACGGTGTTCTATTTGAATATGCTTTAAAATGTCATTTATTTTTGTGATGACAAAGCTGAATTTTCAGCATCATTACTCCAGTCTTCAGTGTCACATGATCCTTCAGAAATCATTCTAATGTGCAGATTTCATCCTCGAGAAACATCTGACCCCAAACTTTTGAACAGTAGCATATATTTTATATGCTTTATAAATTATATACATTTTAATTTAACGTGTATATTTAGAATTTGGATTGATACTTATATTTTCAAATATTTTTTATTTAATTTACATATTTTAACTTATATTAGTAATGATGTTTTTTATTTTTATATTTTAAATTACGTGTTCATGTTTACAAGTCAAGATTTTTCCAACTATATATTCATATTTACAACTCAATATTCAGATTTAAAAATCTATGATTTACAACTCTATATTACGATTTGACGATATGGTTACATGTTACACATAATCCTATTACATAATTTTCACATGACTTAGTAATTAGTATGATTCAGTAAATAAATGAAGTATTAATTTATGCATGTTGCAAAATAAAGACTCCTTAAGTATATGTACTGCAGTAAGTAAAGTGTTATATATGGGGTGGTTAGGCCAGTTTCTCTTAATAAAGCTATTAATATCATATACATTTAAGTGATTGGTAAGCACAGCAAAGAAACATTTTTCCCATTTCCTCTGCTAGAGTATGTATGCCATGTTACCGGGGCTGCTGGATAGTAACCCTTTCTCTGAGAGCAGTCAGCTGTGCATGCCTGCGGGGGTCATTCAAATCCTGGACGTCCTGAAGGAGGCACTGCACCTGCTCAACACTTTCCAGGTGCACAGCGAGATCACATCTCAACTGCTGACCTACCTGTTCTTCTTCACCAACGCCTCGCTCTTCAACAGGCTCATGGAGAGAGGTGAGCACACGCACTCAACGCCCTTCGGAGGACCTGTTGCACAAGCCGTTTACACCAAAGCCACAGTGGCTACAACATGTAAGGCGAGAGAGCGTGGTGTGAACTACTTTGTTTAACCGTCTGTTCTCACTCCAGTGGTCTTGATACTTCGTTTGGACAGGAATTTTTCACAAGGGTGTAAGTTTTACAAAGTGAATATTTGCACCTAGGTGTAAATAACACTGGCTGCATAGCACAGCTCTTTGCATGACAATAGTCTGCTGGAGCCGGACAAGATTATGACAAAATGTAAATTGGTTTAGTTTGAATTGAGATTGAGAGCTATAATGAATAGCATGCTACCTCTAGCATTGATTGAGACTTCTGAATAAATAGTGATATGGTTGTTTTTTTAAGGGTCTGGAGGTGACTTCTACCAGTGGTCTAGAGGAGTGCAGATCCGGGCCAACCTGGATGAGTTTTACAAAGTGAATATTTGCACCTAGGTGTAAATAACACTGGCTGCATAGCACAGCTCTTTGCATGACAATAGTCTGCTGGATCCGGACAAGATTGACAAAATGTAAATTGGTTTAGTTTGAATTGAGATTGAGAGCTATAATGAATAGCATGCTACCTCTAGCATTGATTGAGACTTCTGAATAAATAGTGATATGGTTGTTTTTTAAGGGTCTGGAGGTGGCTTCTACCAGTGGTCTAGAGGAGTGCAGATCCGGGCCAACCTGGATTTGCTGATGGACTGGATTCAGAGCATTGGCACGGGAGATTTGGCTGCTGACTTCTTTCAGAGACTCTCTTCAGCTGTCAACCTGCTCGCAACTCCCAAGGAGACCCTACTGCAGGTCAGAAACCCTTTGAACTGCTTCACAAATGCTTACACAGATACAAATACGAAGTATTTACAAATGTATTGCACTAGAGATGTGCCTTTATTCTGCTGCCATGCTCATGTACTCATACACAATAAAATGCTCTTGCTCCAAAAAAACAAAACAAAAAACCCCACTAACTATACAGAATAAAAACAACATTCAATTTAATAAACGCACAGCAGAGCAAATTGCCATAATAATAACAGACTGATTTATCGGCTGATAAATCAAACAATATTTGTACATTTTGTAAATGGATATTTTGCAGACAGTATTGAAGCCTTTACATTTTTAAGACCATTAAGATTAATAATGCATCCTAATGAAAAGATTGATTGATTGATTCCGTAATGAGAAAGTATTTACAAATGTATTGCACTAGAGATGTACTCATACACAATAAAATGCTCTTGCACCAAAAAAACAAAACAAAAAAACCCACTAACTATACAGAATAAAAACAACATTCAATTTAATAAACGCACAGCAGAGCAAATTGCCATAATAATAACAGACTGATTTATCGGCTGATAAATCAAACAATATTTGTACATTTTGTAAATGGATATTTTGCAGACAGTATTGAAGCCTTTACATTTTTAAGACCATTAAGATTAATAATGCATCCTAATGAAAAGATTGATTGATTGATTCCGTAATGAGAATTGTGCTTCATTTTCTGTGAGCAAAATATAATTTCCCCTTAATGTTGGGTCAAATTTTGATTTGGACTGTTTGAGGTGAACCTACCCAATATGTTGTTTCCTATTGTCATGGATAACCTGGAAATTTCATGGAATTTTAAAATAGTTTTTTTTCCAAATATGGAGAATTCATTAAATGGGTCATATGATGCTGCTAAAAAAGAACATTATTTTGTGTATTTGGTGTAATGAAATGTGTTTAAATGCGAAAATGCGGTTTAAAGTAAAAAAAACACGTTATTTTCCACATACTGTACATTATTGTTTCTCCTCTATGCCCCGCCTTTTTGAAACGCGTCGATTTTCACAAAGCTCCACACATAGTTCCCACATAGTGAGGTAGATATGTGGGGGGTGTGTTAGAACGAGCTGTTTTAGGTAGGTGTGGTTGACTCTTAACTTTTATAAAGAATATCTCTTTGGATTTGAGACTTTAGTCTTTGCAACTTTACAGATCTTCTTTATGCACCAAGAGCTTGTAACACTCCAAAGAGAAAGGAAAATTTTAAATTGCGTCATATGACCCCTTTAAATTAGTAACATTTTATACATCATTGGTAACACTTAACAGAATTGATTTAATTTTGTGGCAAATTTTGGTTTGGACTATTTGAGGTGAACCTACCCAATATGTTGTTTCCTATTGTCATGGAAAACCTGGAAATATCAGGAAATTTTAAAATTGACATTTTTATATTTTTTTCCCCCCAGATATGGAGAAGTCATGAAATTAGTCAAATCTTAAACATCATTGAAGTTTATATAGTGAATATTAACTGGTAACACTTTACAATAAGGTCCTATTGGTAACATTACTTAATGCATTAACATTGAATAATAATGGGAAATTAATTAGTTACAGTTGTTGTTAAATGTTAATCTTTTTAAATATATGTTTTAATACAAATACAACTGTTCATTGTTAGTTAGCTCAGGTCCATTAAATAATATATTAACAGATACGACTTTTGATTTTAATGTAATAATTTGAATGTAGTAGTAAATGTTGTTAACTAATGAAGTTACCCAATGTCATCAAATGGAACCATATTGTAAAGTGTTGCATAATTTTTGTTGTTGTTATACTCTGAAATTTTCCATCAGTTAGATATTGCTCTTATCAGTAAAAGTTGCTTCCAAGCCATAGTGTTGTGAGAAAATTGTTCTCTTGAATTGCTTTTAATGAATTAGTCAAAACAGTTCGTTGGTGAATCAGTCTAAATCATTTTTAAATGTCCTTATTAGGAAATGCATTGGTCGTGTGGGAACCCTGGGTATCGGAGACTACCAAAAGAAATTGTGTACTGTACTTTCTTGGTGTGTCAAAAATGGTGTTGGTGCATATTGTCTGTTCAGTTTCCTTTTGATGAACATCTTGTTCTAGTTTCACTAAACTGTGAATAAGGCAGCTCTTTAGTTGCAAAGAAGAATGAATTTAGGTTTGACAGCAAGGTGTGTTGGAGGTTATAATCTGGGTTTGACTGCTGAGCTTGTGAGTATCAGTTATCCTGATAAAGCCCTTTATTGGTCATCAAGCAGCCACTAGGACTATAAAAATGACGTGATGTTTCAAGAAACGCTAAGCTAACCTGTTTCACAAGCCGACAGCATTGCCTATGATATTGGTATCAGCTTAATTCAATAAAACCGCATGATGGCATCAATCTCATGACAGAGGTCATATTTACATCTTGAGTCATGCAGTTTTCCTGTACATTACATAAATAAAACCCCGTTGAGCTTGTCAGAACATGCCAATGGATCCATCTGTGAACGGTTTGTCATGTAATCC